TCTGCACAACAAAGGAAATGTCCACAAAATGAAAAGGCAACCTGCTGAATGAGAGAATGTAATTGCAAATCATGTATCTGCAAGGGGCTTGTGCCCAGAACTCACAGAGCCAACAGTGAAAAGACAGAGAAGCTGATTACATCATGGGCAGAGGACCTGAACAGATACTTTTCCCAAGAAGACCTCCAGATGGCCAAGAGACACATGAAAAGATGCTCCACATCACTCATCATCAGGGAAATGCAAATCAAAACCACAATGAGATACCACCTCACACTGGTGAGGATGGCTAAAATTAACCAGACAGGAAAGGGAAGAATGTTGGCGGGGATGCGGAGAAAGGGGAACCCTCTTACACGGCTGGTGCCAATGCAAGCTGGTGCAGCCACTCTGGAAAACAGTGTGGAGGTTCCTCAGAAAGTTAAAAATAGAACTACCCTAGAACCTGCAATTGCACTACTAGATATTTATCTGAAGAGGACAAAAATACTAACTCGAAAAGATATATGCACCTTCATTGCAACATTACTCACAACAGCTAAGATATGGAAACAATTTGTGTCCACCAGTGGGTGAATGGGTATAGAAAAACGTCGTGTGTGTGTGTGTGTGTGTGAAGTAATGGAGTATTACTCAGCCATAAAAAGAATGAAATCTTACCATTTGCAATGATGTGGATGGATGTCGAGGGCATTACGCTCGGTGAGATAAGGCAGAGAATGACAGACGCCACGTGGTCTCTTACACGTGGACGTGAGCTCCCACAACAGCAACAACAGAGCTGAACTTGTGGAATCGGACAACAGGTTGGTGGCTGCAAACGATGGGGATAGAGAGTGGGAGAAATGGGTCAACTGTCTCGTTTTGCTTAAATAAGTTGAATTTAAAAACACACGTACTGGATCATTGTTTTGAAAACTAGAAATTCTAGCAAAAGAGAATGTTTAAAAGCCCTAAATCCTAAATAAAGGGAGAGAAGAGAATTGTGTTCATGGACTAGAAGGCTGAAACTTGTGAAGATGTCAATTCTCCCCAAAATGATCACAGAAATTTCAAGAGAATGTTTTGTAGCCAGAGAGGGGCCGGCACAGAGGAACTAGAAGAGCTAAACAACTTTTAGAAAGAATGAGGTGGGGTGGGTGGGAGGCTCACACGGCGGCAGTGGTCGGCACAGACACAGGGGAGGTGGACACACAAGGGCCCAGAGACAGGCCCACACGAGTGGTCATCATGCCCAGGTGCACGAGAGTTCATACAGAAAGGATACCTTTTCACCGACGGTGCTGCGTGAGAAGTGAGCCTTGACCTAAGCCACGCGTCTCACCAAAGATCAGATGGACCGGAGCTCTAAACACACATCATGGAACTACAGCTTTTAGGAAAAAGGAATCTTCAAGACCTGGTGTTTAGAGAAAAGTTCCCAGCAATGACGTGAAAGGTGCCGTCCACAGGAGAACATACACTGGATTTCAGCAGGAATTTAAAATTTTGCTCTGTGAAATGCATCATTAACAAAATGAAAAGACAAGCTACAGACCTGGAGAAAAAATTTGCGAACCACATACGTGACAGAGGGATAGAGCTAGAATATATAAAGAACTTTTGGTATCTAAATGTGGTGTTTCTTCCGATCAGATGGCGCCCCCCAAATGTGGAGCCACCCGATGGGGCAGAAGCCAGTGGAGCAGGAGGGGAAAGAATTCACTGGAGCAGAACAAAGGAGATAAGAGTTTCTTGAATCCACGGCCAGGGGGCTGTGGGCAGGACCACAGAGGAGAGCCTGTGTGCCACGGGGCCGTGGCTGAGGGCTGTCTTTAAAGAGGGAGACCGAGGAGGTATGGCCACATATGGGATTTTCCCTTGTTCGGTAACTGTGCCCGGTTGTAAGTAGCCCATTGGTCAGCAGCTATTTTGGACATTTTGAGGTGGGTCTCCTGATGTGCTTGTCTGTGTTCAGCCAGGGGGTCGCTCAGCCTGTTTGCCTGAAAGCTGCCTCTACAGACCTCCCTAAACTTAACAGGAAGAAATTGAACAATCCAATTTTTTTAAAATGGGCAAAATGTGACACTTCATCAAGGAGGATATACGTGTGCAAATCAGCACGTGGAAGGGTGTCCAGCACCCCGGCCATGGGTAGATGTTAAAACCATAATGAGGTTTCACTGTGCACCCATCAGATTGGCTAAAATTAAAAATCATGACATCAAAGGCCGGGGATGCTGCAGAGAAGCCGGACCTCACTCAAGAAACAGGCGGTTGGAATGCAGTTACACATGACTTGGCCACGCGCTCAGCCGTGTGTCCCTGGGAGAGCCGGGCACCGACGTCCTCAGCGGGAAGTCCCCAGATGCCTTCGACAGGGGCAGGCCACGCAAACTGCGGCCTGTCTCTACGGCCTGACTCAGGCCCCGAGGAGGGACCGGGGCGTCTGTGGTGGCTGCTGGGCCTCGCGCTTTGCCCTGCGTGGAGGAAGCCAGGCTCCGCCCATCCCTGTGGCCTTCTCCCGGAGGCCTTTGGCGGTGGGGCTGGCGGGGGCGGGCCGCGACCCCAGGGGGCACAGGAGGGGTACCGAGTGATTCTGACTGTGGGGCTGTTCTCGTGAGTTTACACATGTGCACAAAAACGGGGCGATTTCATCGTACGCTCAAAACAACCAAACACAGCTGCACTAAGGTGCTGAACTCACCCCCCTCCCTGGACCACAGGCTAGTCGGGCCTCCTCTGGCCTTTGCTCTAGCCAAGCCCTGGGTCACCAGACTCCGACCTGCCCGGAGCCTGAGCCCAGCACCCGGCTTCCCTCTGGGGGAGGGTGGGGTTGGAGGGCAAAGTCTGCTTAGCCTCCAGGGAGTGGTGGGGGCCCACCTGGGCAGTCACCGAGTGGAGCAGGTGGGGCAGGGGCAACCCCAGACAGCAGGTGAGGGGATGACCCTGGGTGGTGGTGGGGGGGGGGTTGAGTGTGACCCTAGGTAGTGGGGGATGACCCCCCGGCAGGGGCCTGAGCGCAACCCCCCTAAACCTCTGTTGGCCAGTCTGTGAACTAGGGGTGGGCAGTACCAGCTCACAGGGGATCCTTTTCCCAGGCTCTGTCACCTGCCTGGTGAGGTCCAGGCAGAGGTGGGTGGTGACTAGCTGAGGGAGAGGCAGGAAAGCACCTGCCAGGTGCCTGAGGGACCGCAGTCCAGCTTTCTCCTGGTTGCAGCTATCCAGCAGCCCAGGTGAGGGGCCTCTCCTAGTCTGAGGGGGGCTGTCCTGGTCTGGGAGGGGCTGTCCTGGTCTAAGGGGAGCTGTCCTGGTCTGGGGGCTGCTGTCCTGGTCTAAGGGGGGCTGTCCAGGTCTTGGGGGGCTGTCTGGGTCTTGGGGGACTGTCCTGGTCTAAGGGGTGCTGTCCTGGTCTGGGGGGCTGTTCTGGTCTGAGGGGGGCTGTCCTGGTCTGGGGGCTGTCTGGGTCTTGGGGGGCTGTCCTGGTCTGGGGGCTGTCCTGGTCTAAGGGGGGCTGTCCTGGTCTGGGGGCTGTCCTGGTCTAAGGGGGGCTGTCCTGGTCTGAGGGGTGCTGTCCTGGTCTGGGGGGCTGTCCTGGTCTAAGGGGGGCTGCCCTGGTCTGGGGGGTGCTGTCCTGGTCTTGAGGGGCTGTCCTGGTCTGGAGGGTGCTGTCCTGGTCTAAGGGGGGCTGTCCTGGTCTGAGGGGAGCTGTCCTGGTCTAGGAGGGTCTGTCCTGGTCTTGAGGGGCTGTCCTGGTTTGGCGGTGCTGACCAGTTCTGAAGGGGGTGTTCTGACCGTGGGAGAGTCTGCCCATCCTTTTGCCCACCTACTGGGGTCCCAGGCTGGGGGGGTCTCAGAATGCTATATTGCTTAGAGGTGGGGTTATGAGGTGGGGTTCCAGTGTCCCTGGGCCCTGCCTGTAACCTGGGTGCTGGTTGGGGGCACAGGCTGGGTCCCCTGTGGGCCTGGACTGACTGGCTCAAACAGGTCAGCAATCCTCTGGGTACAGCCTGTCCCATGCCCCCCGCGGGATAGTTGTGTCATCACTCAGTGGGAAATTGCCTGCATTTGTTGCATTTTTGTGAGGTTCACGGTGCGATACAAAATCACAGGAATCGCAGTCTCCTTTGGGCGGTGGCGCCAGCCGGGCCGAGACTCCTGACGGTGCTCTGCGCATGGCCTGGTTCGGGGGTGTTTGGGGCCTGGAGCAGGCCCTGCAGGGGCTGAGGCCACTGAGCTGGGCACCTGGGCCCTGTGCAGATTGCATTCCTGGCTCAGCCTCGGCCAGATGCCCAGGGGCTGTCTGGAGCCAACAAAAAGTTTCAAAATCAGATCAGAGAAACCAGAGGTTGGGTTTTCAAATAGAAACCAATATCTTTGTTAAGAACTCCCTGACCTCAAGGTCCTTTCATCAAGAAAATGTGCTTCTCGGGGCCCTGCTGACCTCACTCATTAGAGTACACGTGAGGCTGCCTGGCAGGAACTAGATATCCAGCTGGTCACCTGTCCCCACCTGGCTCGGGCCTGACCTCAGGGCTCCCAGAGAGGAAACACGGCCCTGGGAGGGGCCTGGGGTGCGGGAGGCAGGCTGGCAGCAGAGGTAGGGTCCTGGGTCCCCCGACCTCAGCCTGGAGCTGACCTGCAGGGCCGGGGCTCCTTTTCCTGGGAGGGTGGGGGAAGCAGGGCTGCCTGGATAGCATGGTGGGGCACAGCTGGTCCCCGACACGGCATGAGGGTGGGGCTCTTCTGGACCCCGTCGCTGTCAGCACTGTGTGTCTCGGGCTAGCCCTGTTGCGACGAGCCCTCCCGGGCCCTGGCCCCACGGGCTCCTCCGATGCCCACGACACCCTGGGCAGGCCTGGCTCCCATGGCAGGGTCTGTGGCCCTGCCCACTGACCCAGCCGGGGTGTGCTGAGCCCCAGGGAGGATGGGGTGACTCTCCAGGGCAGCAGTGTCTGCAGCAAAGGGAGTCTGGGTGCCCACTGCTGCCCTCCTGCAGCTGCCAGCCCTGCCCTGCCCTCATGGGGCTGACCTGGAAGAAGCGGGTCCTAACGGCCCTGCTAGGGGCCGCAGCGGCCTCAGGCCTCACCACGCTCATTCTCCTCCTGGTGGAGGCCACCAGTGTCCTCCTGCCTGCAGACACCAAGGTAGGCGCCTAGACCCGAGCGGTTGGGCCAGGCTGATGATGTGGGGCCCCCGTACCCCTGACCCTGCTGTCACTCTCAGTTTGGGATCGTGTTTGACGCCGGGTCCTCTCACACAACCCTCTTTGTGTACCGCTGGCCGGCAGACAAGGAGAACAACACAGGTGTGGTCAGCCAGGCCCTGGCCTGCCAGGTGAAAGGTCAGTACGCCAACGGTGGGCGGGCGTGGCTGCCGCGGTCGGCTGTCGGGCTGGGATTCCCGGCTGGGTGGAGGTTTGGGAGGTGGCGCAGCGGGGGCGAGGTGGGATTTCCTTTAGCAAATCAGCAAATGATCCGAAAGGAAAAGTGGCTCAGAGAGGTTGAATGAATGACGCAAGGTGGCACAGCCAACCAGGGCGGTTGGACCAGGGTCCAGGTTCGTCTGCAGAGAACTGGGACAGCCCCCGCCCGGCCCTGCCTGCCTCTTCCATCTTCCGGAGGCTCCCGGCCTTCCCCGGCTTGCGGTCCCTTCGGTCCGACCCCTTCCTCCGGTGTCACGTGGCCCTTCTTCCTCCTGCCTCTCAACCCCTCCCCCCTCCTCTCTTCTCCCTTAAAGGAAATGGGCCATGGAACGTAGGGCCCGCCCGGGGAATCCAGGATGATCTCATCTTAAGATCCTTACCTTAATTACATCTGCAGAGAACCTTTTTCCAAATAAGATCCCACTCAAAGATCCCAGTGGTGAGGACGTGGACATATCTCCTGGGGCGACACTATCCAAGCCACCGCAGGCCCTCCCAGCCCTGCTGGCCTTCAGGCCTGGAGCCTTGTCCTGGGTTCTGTGTTTCAGGGCCTGGAATCTCCTCCTATGCCTCCAATCCTGCACAGGCTGGTGAGAGCCTGCAGGGCTGCCTGGAGGAGGCGCTGGCCCTGATCCCGGAGGCACGGCGTCAGGAAACCCCCATGTTCCTGGGGGCCACGGCCGGCATGAGGCTGCTCAGGTGAGGTGGGCTGGCTTGGGGCTTGAGGCATGTCTGCGAGGAGCAGCCGTGAGAACCGCGGCATGGACGCCTTGGGCAGGTGGGCAGGGTGGGGTGGCTGTGGGTTTCCTACCAGCTTTGGCTGCTGGTCCTTTCTGCCCAGCCAGAAGAACAGCTCTCAGGCAGGAGACATCTTTGCTGCAGTCAGCCGGGTCCTGGGCCAGGCTCCCCTGGACTTTTGGGGTGCTGAGCTCCTGGCTGGGCAGGATGAAGGTGCCTTGGGTTGGATTACCATCAACTATGTCCTGGGCATGCTGATCAAGGTGCCACGGGCAGCCCCCCGGTGGGGGTTGGATGACCAGGGGCTGTGGGTCCATGTGGCTGGTTCCAGGACTCAGTGCTGCCTGTCTGTCCTCAGTACTCCTTCTCTGGAGAATGGATCCGGCCTCTGGAGGGGACCCTGGTGGGTGCCCTGGACATGGGTGGAGCCTCCACCCAGATCACCTTTGTGCCTGGAGGCCCCATACTGGACAAGAGCACTCAGGCCACCTTCCGCCTCTACGGCTCTGAGCACAGGGTCTACACCCACAGCTACCTCTGTTTCGGGCGTGACCAGATGCTGACCAGACTCCTGGCTCGGCTGGTGGAGGTTGGCTTGCCCGCAGAGGAGGCCGAGGTGCAATGGGATGGCCTGTGGCCCTGTGCTGGGCTCAAGGCCACCTCCCTGTCCTCTTGCAGAGCAGCCCCGGCCCCCTGGTCCGCCACCCATGCTACCACAGCGGCTACTGGACCACGCTGTCCCCGGCCACCCTGTATGAGTCACCCTGTGTCCACACCACACCCCCTCCAGACCTGGCCTGGAACCTCACGGTAGAAGGAACAGGGAACCCTGGGGCCTGCGTCTCCGCCATCCGGGGCCTCTTCAACTTCTCCAGCTGTGAGGGCCGAGGACACTGTGCCTTCGATGGGGTCTACCAGCCCCCCGTGCGGGGCCGGTTTTATGTGAGCACTCTACACTGTCCTCCCCGGGGGCCCAGCCTCCTTCTGGAGCCCCAAGGGCCTGATGCCAGGTGGGCCCAGGATGAGCCCTGGACAGGTGGTGTCTTGGGGACTCTGGGTCCCCGTGTGTGTGTGTGTGTCGGGGGGCCTTTGCCTGGTCCGTGCTGGAGCTACTCTGATCCGGGCCCACCTGGGCATCGCCCCAGTGCAGGCACGCCCATCTTACTGCCCTCCCCCCCCAGGCCTTCTCCAACTTCTACTACACCTTCCACTTCCTGAACCTCACCTCCAAGCAGCCGCTAGCCACCGTCAACGCCACTGTCTGGGAGTTCTGCCAGAGACCCTGGAAGCAGGTGCGTGGATCCTGGGGCCACCTTTCCCCACCAGAGCTTCCCCAGCTCTCTGGGCTGCAGCAAGCAGGCACTTGGGGGGCCCGCATCCTGGGCCATGTGGCCAGCAGGGCTGGGGGGCTGCCGAGGGAAGGGAAGACAGCCCCTTGGCCATCCTGCTCCAGGCAGGAGACCCAGGGCCGCATCCGTGGGTGGGAGCAGCCTCCGGGGGGCCAGGAGAGGGGGCGTCACCTGGCTCCTCACCTCCCGGGCCCCCAGGTGGAGGCGAGCTCGCCAGGGCAGGACCGCCGGCTGCAGGACTACTGTGCCTCGGGCCTGTATATACTCACACTGCTGCGCGAGGGCTACGGGTTCAGGGAGGAGACCTGGCCCGACATCGAGTTCCACAAGCAGGTGACCACCTCCCAGGGCCTGGCCATCTGGCCCGGGGCATTGGGGGGTCAGTGGCCCCGCGGCAGCTGCCCATAGCCCTGACCAGGCTGCATGTCCCACAGGCCGGTGGCACTGACATTGGCTGGACGCTGGGCTACATGCTGAACCTGACCGGCGTGATCCTGGCCGAGGCGCCCGCCCGGTGGCGGGCGGAGAGCTATGGCATCTGGGCAGCTGGGGTCGTCTTTGCGGGGCTGACTCTCTTGGCTACTCTTGGGGCTGTGGCAGTCCACCTCCTGTGGCCCCGGGGCTAAGCTGGGCTGCCCCAGGCTGGACGGCTGTGCCGGCCAGAGCCTTCCTGAGCTCCTGAGCCCTGTCGGGGCTCCCTGTCCTGAGGGCTCTGGCCCCGTGGGCAGATGGCCCCATTCGGCCCTCGGGGTGGCTCTCCCCATCCCAGGCCCTCCGGGTCCCCTTCTCCACCACGCTTCCCAGGGGGGCGGGTGACTCGGGCCCTGCAGCACTCCAGGGCTGTGTGACGTAGGTGCTGTGGGACGTGGGGCCTGGTCCAGCCTGGAAGTGGGAGTGACCGCCCAAGCAAGAGGGGCTGTGGCTCCCTGGGAGACGCTGGCAGTGGGGCCCTGGGGGTCTCTAGGAGAAGGCTGGCCAGAGGCCCAGCTGGTCCCCTGGGGTCGGGATCCAGGATCAGGGCTCTGGGCTTCCCCTGGAGTGGCAACCCCACCCCCACCCTCGAAGCCTTCGCCAGGCCCTCCAAGTGGACAAGCCCAGAATACAGACCACACCTTCGTGGGGGGAAGACTGCTTTATTAACACCCTCCTTGACACGGGACGTCTTAGGGCTGATTTCGTCACTGGGTTTGGGCTGGGCAGGGCTCCGGGTGGGGGTGTCGGGCTCCTCACACATACTGTCCAGCTGGGACCACAAAGCACTTGGGGAAAATGCCGATGCGGCCATCACAGTGACCCTCCAGCCATGCCTGGTCCACTGCATGCAAGGGGAGTCAGGGTTCCTCAGAGCACACCAAGCAAGGTCTGCTCACAGAAGCCCCTTGTGCCCCAGAGGCCCACTGACCTTCACATAGGACGTCCACGACATCCCCCCGCTGCAAGGCCAGGTCCTCAGGCCCCCGGGCAGAGTAGCTGTGCTGGGCCACCACCTGGCAGAGGGCAGGTCGGCCACCTGCTCCCTATGGCAGGAAGGGGGGCTGCAGGGCTGCAGGGCTGGAGAAGGGCCCCAGGGTCCCCCATGCCCCACACTGAGACCCACACCCATGCAATCCTGAGGCTCACCCGGCACTGGAGCTGCAGGACCCCTGGGCTGGCTGCTGCATCCCGCCAGGCCCTCTGCAGTACCTCCTCCCCGGGGAGGGGGACCCAGCGCCCCTTGTTGCTGGGGTCTCGGTAACTGCAAAGAGACTCCTCAGAGTGGCGTCGAGGGGGCAGGGGGTGCTTCTGGCGGGGCACTGCCCTCTGCAGTCCTGCCCCACCTCCCACCCACTCACCTGAGCTGCCCACACTGGGCCTGGCGAGGCAGTGCTTGGCTCAGCAGGCTCCGCAGGCTGGACAGGTCAGCTCCTCTCGGGACCTTCAGGGCCAGGGTGAAGGCACACTGCACCGTGACGGTCACCGAGGACGCAGGGTCCCCCACAGCCACTCCCTGGGTCAGGGCAGAAAGGCAGTGGTCAGTCATGAAGCCCCACATCTGCATGCCCAGGGCCTGGCTGGGGTGGCCTTCGAGCAAAGAGGGTGGGAGGGGCTGGGGCTCCAGGCTTGGAAGGCTCTATCAGCTGGGGTCCCCAGGGCCTGGCCTCAGGGCCCCAAATCCCTGAAGAGTGGGGGTGACAGGCAGGCCAGTGCCTCTTACCCCAGCACCCAAGGGATCCTCCAAAGGGCTGGGGTCCGGCCCCCCTGCCACGAGCGGCCCTGTGGAGGGTGACAGAGCAGAGACTCAGGTGGCCACCAGCCCCAAACTGGGACATTTTGGGGTAGAGTAGCTGTTGGCACCACACGCCCGCTGGGAGGCCCAAGGTAGCCAGCGGCCTCCCTCGGGGGCAAAGAGGCCGCTCCCAGCACCCCCAGACGCCTGCCCAGGACTCCCACCACTGCGAGCCTCTGCCCACCACCTATAGCTCAGGATGTCCTTACCTGGAGGAACCTGTTTGCCAACTTGCTCCACACGGGGCCTCTGCAGGAAAAGCCACAGGCTGGGAGCAGGGGCCGGGGAGGGGGGCCCTGAGGATGGGGCAGCTTTCCCTGGCCTGGGGCTTGTCGCAGCAAACCCAGAGGTTTATGGCCAGGGAGCCAGCTGATCAGGTGTATTCAGGGCATGAACCAGGTCCCTACAGGCCTGGAGACCATACACAGGCTGCCTTACATCGGTGGGGAAGAATCTGTCATGCCCCCGACTGCCACCACCAAGCACTATGAGACGGGAGCTCCAGCTGGGGGTCCCCGGTGACCCTGGAGGCTGAGGACCCAGGCCAGGGGCCAGCTGGACTTCACCGCATGTAGGAGGTGCGAGAGGGGCAGCGGAACCTCCCAGAGGGGCCCCGGGGTCCAGACGATCCTGACTCAGATTCTGGCTTCAAGGGGCAGGGGTGGGGGGCGGTCGGGAAGTTTGGCTATAAATGAAGTGTTTGGACCGTATCAGATTTTCCAGCTGGTTAAAGCCCTTCAGAAGCTGTTTGCTATTATGTCAGGAGGGTCAAGGACCTAAACCCCCAATGTACGAACCTAGTAAAAGCATCCTTAACCTGCGGGGATTTAATGAAGCTCAGTCATGACAGAGAACAGTTGCTTTTCAGAGCACAGGTCTGTTTACCTTGAGTTAATGGAACATCAATGAAAGGGGAGGGACTGTTTTCTTATCGAGTCCTTGGATAAACTGCATGTTAAGTTCAACCACCTTCTCTGTGCATGGGCGACCCCTCTCCAGGTGCTGGCCCTGGGTGGTGGCCAGCCACACCCTCCTGGGGGCCCCTGCCTGGGAGAAGCCTGTGTCCAGGAAGGAAGGCTAGGCGGCTGAATGGTACAGAAGCCCAGGCTGCAGTCCGGGGGCGTGGGGAGGACCACTGGACTCCTGTCTATGCACCAGTGAGCATCAGCAAGCTCCCCAACCCTGGTGTCCAGCCACTGTGGCTGGCTCCAGCTCTGTCTCTGCCCTGACAGAGGAAGCCACCTGCCCTGCCCTGAGACCCTCACAGTGCCTGGCTGTGGCTGCTGGTCCCCATGCTCAGCCTGGTGGGGGGTGTCCTCCCAGCACTGTGGCCCCTGTCCCCCCAACCCCAGCCCGGGTTCACTCACCCGCTCATCATAGATGACCTGCGCCACCTGTCCAGAGCCAACCTCTGTCTCTGCCTCAAGGGGCATCCTGGGACCACAGGGGGTGGCAGTTCTGCAGGGGCCTGAGTCTCCAGCCCTGGGGGGCGGGGGGAGCCCTCGTTCCCAGGACTTGCCCAACTTCTTCCCCTCCCAACACAGCCTGAGAGGAACACCAAGTGTGGAGAAGAGGGGCAGCGCAGAGCAGGCCCCAGGCGGGGAACTGCTCTATGTCCCTACACCCTGTGCAACCTTGAGCAGCATCCCCTCTCCCGAGTTGGGACAGCCCCACCAGTGAGGGTCCAGTCTGGCAATGCCAGAGGAGTAATCACGTCAGCCCACAACCCAGCCAGCACCCTCCTTGGGCACCTCGGCTCCGAGCCTCGGTGCTACTTGGAGTCATGGTGACCTGAAGTCTCAACTCCCCTCTGGTGCCCCCTGAGGCTTGGATGCTGCTTCTATGAGAAGGGGGCACAGGGCTCTTCCTCATGAGCAGGATGGGCTCAGGACAGTGTAAGCCCTGGGCATCTGGACAAAGGGGCATGGGCAGGGCTGAGAGAGGCTAGACACCTCTTCCCTGGCCTCAGGGGCTGCGATGCAGGCCTCACACCAAGGCCTCTGCCCCAAGAGGAGAAACCAGCATGCAGAGGGGAGACCCACTCCTTCCTACCGTGGGGCAGCTCCAGGTCTGCCTTCACCATCGGCATCCCGAACCTATGGGTACAGAATGACATCTTCTGTCAGGAGGCAGATCCCTGTGGGTGAGTGTCAGGGCAGGGAGGCCCAGCATTGCCCCCGCCCCCTGCTACCCCAGGCAAGACTCTCACACAGAGTAGGCCTGCCACTCCCAAGTTCAGATCAGAGCAAGGTTGGGGAGCCCCGAGGGAGGGTTCAGAGCATTTTCCTCCCTTCACAGTAAAAAGGTCTGAAATGCTCAGGCCTGCAAAATCACAGAAGTCTGGGGTGGCTGGAAGGCTACCCACACACCTGGGGCTGCTGAGGCTGGGTGCCCTTGTGCTGGTCTTCGGGGATGGCAGAGGCTACCACCTGGTGAGGGACAGCAGGAGACAGCAGAGTCAGGGGCCCTGTGATGTCCCCTCCCAGCCCCTGCTGCCCACCCCGCACGCCTGAGTGTCCCCTCTGCCATGTGGGGGCTGCCCACGCCTGACCCAAGGCTGCAAAAGCGCCATGGTGGGGGCTAGAAGGTAGGAAAAATATGTCTGATAAAGGAAAACATCTGTGTTGACAGTTCTAAATTATTTTTAATACAACTTTTGAAATATTTTTATTTCTTAGAAGTCTTGTACTGTGATAAACAAACTCTAAATTCAGATTAATGCAGCTCAGAGCCGCCTGGCCCCTGCCAGCAGACGTTTGCAAAGATGAGGTGTTTGGGGCATGTGACCTCACCAGCCCTGTACCTGGTCACACACAGCGTGCCGGCCCTCGGTGACCTCGGTGGGTGCTGGGGTTAACCCAAGGGCCACCAGCTTGAAACCCAAGCAAATTTTCCTTTGTGCACAGGGGAGTTACTTCTCTGCATTCCACCCCCGCTCCCCAATGTTCTGGGATTTTGGTGATGCTGTGTGGCTCAGGCCAGCCTACCCCGGGCCTCCTTGGGATCTCACTCTCTGGGGCAGAGATGCAGGGAGATAAAGAGACAGAAAAATACAGGGAGGTGCTGAGGCCAGAAGAGCATGGCTGAGGTAGAGGCGGGCGGGGACAGCACCGCCTTGGGGATCCCTGCCAAAAAGTCATGAGACCCCTCCTCCTCAGCCAGCTTCCGGTGGGTTCTGCCTCCTGGTTCCAAGAGCCCAGAATCTGTGAACTCCACTTGGAGACACTGCCCCTGACCCAGGAAGCTCAGGCACTCTGCAGTTTGGGGGTGGCCTTGTGCCCACTCTCCACGCACCTACCAAAGCCTTTCTAACGACAGGGGCCCCTGTGAGCTCAGCACCTGCAGCTGCTGAAGGCCCCCGACCCGGTGGCCGCAGGAAGTGAGCCGCTGCCCCCTTACCTTGGCCTTGCCTAGGAAATCCACTGGTTCCAGATGCTCCAGGTGCCGCCTGTGGGGCCGGAAGACCTCACCCCTGGGGACCTGCCGAGGCTGCAGGTGGGCCTGTTTCTGGAGGGGGTCCGGCCAATGCAGACCTGAGCATCTAACCAGGGCTGTGGCCTCAGCGACCCTCCGCCCACTTCTCACAGGCCCTGGGAAGTCCTTTCCCAGCCCCCACACCAGGGCACACCGGCCACCTCCCTCTAGAAATTTCTTCATCTCACAGAGTTGGTCTTGGGGGGCCTGGACTGTGGGCTATGGGCCCAACAGCGCCTGGGGATGGGGCCGGCCTGCTCTCCACCTGCCCACCCCTCACCTGCAGTTGGTCCAGGGCGGCGTGCAGGTCGCCGGCCCCTTCCGGCCCCTTCGAGAGGGCCTCCTCTAGGCTGCGGGTGGCCTCAGCCCAGAGTCCTAGCCGGCACTGTGCTGCCCCCACGTTGAAGAGCACCTGGGAGCGAGGTGAGAGATGACAGCCTACTACCTCACTTATCTCCCCTCCTCTGGCCTCACCCCTGGTCCCACCCCCAGAGCAGCCCTTCAGGCCTCAACCTCCCCCTTTGCTCCCCACCCCTCCCCTGCCTCTGATCCGGATTCCACCCCAGGCCCGCACCAGGTCCCTCTCCTGGCCCCGCCCCCAGTCCCGCCCCTGGCACCTCTCCTGGCCCCACCTCCGGTACCTTCCTGGACCACTCTCCTGGGCCCCGCCCCCAGCCCCGACCCCGAACACGTCGCGCCTCAGGCACAGCCCCCGAGGGCTCTTCTGGGTGCCCAGCCTGAAGCGGAGCCTGCCTGGCTCAGTGGCTCTGCCGGGCAGGCCTCACTCTCCAGACCCCGCAGCTGCAGCGGTTCATCGCTCTGGCGCTTCTTTGCTCCGAACATCAGGGGCAGATTTCCGAGCTCTGGGAGCATCCTCTCCGCCTGCCTCACCCCCATTCTGCATCTGGCCTGACCCCTTTTGCAGCCCCTTCGACTGTGTGCTGCCCTGCTCAGTGCCCTGCTCTGGAGTGCTGTCCAAGGAACCCCTTCCTCTGTCCTGTCCCCTTCCTCACGCCCAACCCCGTGTGAAAAGACGTTTAGACAGACAGGTTGGGTCGGGTTAAGGCTGTCGCCAGCGGGACGTGCTGAGGGCAGAAGCGAAGTTGCCCGGTGCTCCTGGAAGCCGACACTGCCCCCTGACCCCTCGGCTGCTGCAAAGGCAGCAAGTGCTTGCCCAGCTCGGCCCTATGTCAAGAGAAACCAGCCCATTCTTCCCGCGGCCCTCCGTCCCCATGGCCTGCCAGGTGACCCAACGCTCCCAGAGCCAGCTGGCCACCCTCTGGAGATGCTGTTACCCGGCTGGGTGGGGGTCACTGCCAGGCCAACGCCCCATGCCCCACCCTGCACTGTTGGGTGCCCTGGTCAGGGGACCCAGGCGGGCTGTGGAGCCCACCCAGTGGGACTTTCCCATGATTTGTTGACTGCAACACAGGCGGCTTGGAGAAGGCTCCAGGCGGCATGTCCCCAGGAGCGCTGGGGCTGCCCTCTCGATTCCCCTAACCCTTGGTGTCAGCCACAGGGAGAGCCTAGGGTGGGGGCTCACAGCCAAGCTGTATTCCTTCTGACCCCACCTGCCTCGCTCTGCTGACTCTGACCCTCCCCTGCCCTTCTCCTGGTGGCCTCCCACCTCTTCTGCCCGTAAGCTTCCTTGGGGTGAAAGTGTGGTCAGTAGGGGTACCAGGGCGTCTCAGGCGTGAGGGAGCATATCAGTCACCCCACCTGTGGCAGTAACAAGACAGTGGGCCCCAGAGGACGGGGCCTGAAGGGGCTCCCGGGCCATCCACCCACAGACAGCACCTCCAGGGCCCCCAGCTGGCCCCACCTCTTGGAGGCCGGCTCCCCGTACAAGTCTGGTGCAAGCTCACCTCCCAGGCCTTCAGCTTGAACCGCAGGCCCAGCTGCGTATAGTCAATGGTGGCATTATCCCTTAGCTGTGCCAGGGCCAGCCGGAAGTCGGACAGGGCCTCCTGGAACCTGTAGGCAGTGGGGGATTAGGGGGGTGTTCTCAGTGGCTTTAGGGAAAGGCGCCAAGCCCTGCCCCAGCCTCCCCTGCCCCCATCTCCAGGGACACCTGCCAGGGAGCAGTGGTGGCCACCCAGGTCCTAGCACATGGTAGGCACTCAAGTCCCAACCAATGGGTCAAGGGATTGACATACAGACGTGGCTGTGGGAGGTAGAGGGGGCACCACGCCTGGGGTGTGAGGTGATGTCAGCTCTGATCCAACTCTGCCTTCTGGAAATCTCACTCCCCTGACTGGGGCCCCTGTCTGCACCCCAGGCCCTCTTCCGGCCCTGGCTGTGTAGAGTGCCCTGAGCATTTCCCTCCTGCTTCTCAGGACCCCCATCGCCTGTGGGCCTCCCTCTGCAGAGACCTGGTGGAAGCTCCTCAGCCTCCACTGGAATCCCCATCTCCCCCAGGCAGGCTCCTGGACCCATGTGAGGAGGAGGTTGCCCCCAGAGTCTGCCTGCTTGGCATGGGGCCATCTGCTGGGCTTGTCCTGGGGGCTAGGTGGGGTAGGGGGAAGATGAGCTTGTCCTGCAGAATGTTTTCTTCTCTGGGAAGGACCACAGTGCAAAGAGCCCAGGTGAGCATTGAGGACCCCAACCACTTCTGTGTCCTGCTCCAGCATGAGCACAGTATCCTCTCCAGGCTTCCCTGGGGCTGTAGAGGAGGGGTTGGCAAGAGGAGGTGACCCATGGGGAGAAGGGGGGGAGCAGGGAGCATAAGAATGGACTTTGCAGAGAAAAAGAGCCGTCAGAGAAGAAACAAGGCATCCCTGTGCTCACCTCTCCAGCTGGAAGTTGGCCACTCCTCGCTGGAAGAAGCCAACAGCCATGCAGGTGTCCTTGATCACTGCTTGGTCAAATGCCTGGGGACAAAAATGCCCATGGATCGCCAAGGTCTGCAATTCTATCACCCCTGTGTCACAGACACAGTCCAGGCAGATGACCAGTGGCAGGGGGCCAAGGAATTCCACTGGACCCCAGGACAGCCACCGGCAGATAGAAGTTTCCTGCACCAGTCCAGGGGCCTCCAGAGCTCACGCCTGGGTACCTGCATCACCATTCAGTTTTCCTTGGTGCCACGACCAGAATCAGCCTGAGCTCCCGAAGTGCAAAGAGCACAGCGAGGTGTTGTCATAAACCAATCTGTCTGCCATGAGGACAAGGGGACACAACAGAAGGGAACACTCCAGCGCATTAATAATAGTTACCTCTGGGGCATGGAGTTATACGAGATTTTTGTCTTTTTAAAATCCTATTTCTGATAGTTCATACAAAATGACACTTCTTATCTATTAGAATCAGAAAGACGGGTGCCTGGGTGGCTCAGTCGGTTAAGCATCTGCCTTCAGCTCAGGTCATGATCCTGGCGTCCTGGGATCAAGTCCCGCATCGGGCTCCCTGCTCAGTGGGGAGTCTGCTTCTCCCTCTCCCTCTGTCTCATCCCCCCTGCTCGTGCTCTCTCTCTCTCAAATAAATAAATAAAATTTTTAAAAAAGTATTAGAAAGAACAAGAACACAAAAGTCTTAGTATGTGTGTAAGGTACAGCTCTTCCCCAAACTTCATTCAGACGAGGTCGACTATTCCTAATGAGGACAGTAACCATCAGTTAAACATGGGTAATAGGAGGGGCATCATGGTCTTACAAATCTGGCCAAATGGGGGGCTTATTGCAGAACTGGGATTGACCTAAGGTTGAAGGTACACACGGAGGCATTGATGTGGGGGCCCTCAGTGCCAGAGAAATCCATTTGTTTGCTACCCGGCCACACAGAGCAGCCAAGTCAAGGTCACGTAGGGTTCCTATCAACAGACTGCTTTCCTACCTACGCCCCTCCTCACCCTGCCCTGCTCCTCAGAGACAGTTTCAATAATTGTAGCCATTCCATCTGCTTTTAAAAATCTCCATATTTCCAACTAATGTGCCCATGCTATTATTACTTAATTTTATTGACTTTGGACAGTCCCCCCTCTTCTCTTAGGGTAAAGAATTTAATACCATATTCTTCTGCTCACCACCTCTGTCCCTTCTCTAGTTAAATCACAGTTTATGAATAAGTGATAAATGGATTGGCCTTATATCTACTATTGACTGAGCTACCTAGTGTCTGGTGATTATATTCCCTTTCTTGGATAACACCTTAAAACTGAAATTGTTACTAAGAATTGTAGATTCATATGCAGATGCAAGAAATGACAGAGGAGATCCCTTGTACCCTTTGCCCAGTCTCCCCCCCAGCTCCCGTGGTTTTACAAGTTTTACAAGATAACGACATTGATGCTCTCCTACAACATCTAATTCTCTTTTCACTTGTGTCATTTTCCAGGTAGCTGCCACTGATTGTCTCAAAAACTGCTGGATCCTGGTTCTTTCTGTTGGAGAGATTTGGGGACCGGAGAAATGAGTAGGGTGCTGCTGGATTTTGTATGCACCTGGGGAACATGCATCACTTTAAAGAACACAAAGTGTTTAAAGGGCAGAGAGTGGTTCTGTCAGCAGAGGGGCTGTGTGCGCTAGCCGGTGTGCAGTCTTGAGCTCTTGGTTCTATTTTGGGGAACAGATTGGGGAAAAGATGAGTACTTAGATCTGGGGTCTGGTACCAACAAGACAGACCTCATCTCCTTCCCATCGCCACAGCTGTCTGATGAAGTCCCCTCTCTAAACTCTACGCCTTGGGGGGCAGGCAAGCCCCTTGCAAGCAGGACCCAGCGCCCAGCCTATTTCTAGGTATTAGCACGATGAGCACTTGAGCCAGCAGCCCCCCAGTCCTTCCCTGTGACCACAGAGTCTGGCACATGGTCATCACCTCGAGGAGAGGGCGAGGGAGGCCGCCCCCCATCATGCCCTGAGTTCAGGGTGGGGTCCCCCGACCACACAGCTCCCACCTGCCTTCGGTGTTCACTGAGGCAGAACACTGGGGGGACATCTCCAGATGACCATCAGGAAGAAGGACGGGGACCCCGGGCTCACCCCTGCAGCTGGGTCTTTATCGCACGGTAAGATTCCCCAGGCTCAGAGAACAGCCTTCCCAAGGGGTGGGGTCTCTGCGACCAACCCTGGGCGCCGGGCTGTCTGGCCCCTGGCTCACCCGCAGCGCGGCCTCCGGGTCCCCGGCCAGCAGGTGCACGCAGCCCACGTTGAAGCACATCCTGGCGGGCGGCTCGGGGTCGCCCGAGAAGAGGCGGAGGGCGCAGCCCCAGTCCCCGCGCGCCACAGCCTGCACGCCCCGGTGCCAGTCGCGCACCAGGTCTCCTAGAGAGGGCATGGCGACGTGGACACCCGCCAGACTGCGGCGCGAGTCTGGCTTCCGGGCCGGAGCGCGGCGGGCGAGGCCGGCGGCGGTGGGGGGGTCCCGTGAGGGATCCGGCGGGACGACTGGGGGCGAGGGCCGCGGAGCAGGAGCTTCAGGGTCCGGAGGCCGGCGTGGGGATGTGGGCGCCCCCCTTAGAGGCCGGCACGGGGGTCCAGACCGAAGGGGCGCTTGGCCCTCGGAGCGCGCGGAGTCCGCGAGCCGCAGGTGCGCCACGCCTCCTGCTGCCCACGGCGCCCCCTGGCGGCCGAGCGACCCCGCCCCTCCCCGAGTCGGCCCCGCTCCGTCCACACGGCCACGCCCCCCACAGGGGCCGCCCCTCTCCATCCGACCCCGCCCCTTCCCGCGCTTCTGCCGCGCCCATCCCGACTTCCGCCGGGAGCTCCCGGAGCTCGCGTTTCCCGGCCGGCATCGCCCCGGGCCGTGTGGGTCTCGGTGCTCCAGGGAAAGCCGTCCGGGCCCGCCGCTGCGGCGGCCGGGCCAGGGTTCCGGGCGGACCCCGCTGGCTCAGGTGAGCGACCGCCGGGGCGCGGGCCGAGGTGGGGCGGGCTTGGGGGTCCCCCCGGGGACACCAGGAGGTAGGGCGGAGCCGGGCAGGGCTGTGGCCGAGCTGGCGGCCTGGCCGGCCCCGAGGGCCCCTGCCGGCGCCCCGGCCCCGCCAGCCCGGCTCTGCTGGGACCCGCGAGCCGCCGGAGCTCGTCCTGGGGTCCGCACCCAGCGGCCGGCGGACCCGCGCTCCACCTCCGCGGGGCTAGCAGAGGCCCAGCGGTGGGGGGGGGGCGTCCCGAGCCCCACCCGCGGGACGGCGGGACGTGGGGCGGTGCTGGTGACACTCGTGGGGACCGTCCGTCTCTAGTCCCTGTCAGCCGTCCCGCTGTCGGCCCCCGGTGGGGGCTCGGCGAGCGGGACTAACCCGGCCCCCGGCCCGCCCCTGTGGCAAGCAGGCCCCGCCCTGTGCCCTGCACACCCCGGTGACCCTGAGGACCTCCTCCACCGAGAAAGTAGAAGCCCCTAGAGCCCCAGGTGGCGTCTGCCCACCCCTCCCCCCGGTGCCCGGAGCCCCTCCGGGAAGTCCGGAGTCGCTGCAGGGGCCTCTGTCCCCTCAGCCCGCGTCCCTGCTGACACCCCATAGATGTCTTACTCGCTGTCACGCTCTTAGCACTCGGGTCAGTCAAGGTTCTCCGGAGAAGCAGAACCAACAGGTGCACAGAGAGGGAGAGACTGATTGTGAGCAGTTGTGGGGGCGGGCAAATCCGGAATCTGCAGGGTGGTCCGACAGGACGAGACCCAGGGAAGAGCTCACGCTGCGGCTTGCGTCTGGGGGCACATTCCCCTCCCCTTGGACTGGCAGGCCTTCCACACCCCCTCACCACCCACACCTCCAAGGCCCCTTCCCATGTTAGGAAGGGTCTACTGTTGCCAATGTTGATCTCATAAAAAATACTTCCCCGGCGCCTGGGTGGCTCAGTCGGTCAAGCCTCCAACTCTTGGTTTCCGCTCAGGTGGTGATCAGGGTCGCGGGATGGAGTCCCCCTTCCTCTCCCTCTGCCCCTCTGTTCCTCCCTTCCCCCCCATGCTCTTGCCCCCCATAAATAAATAAATAATACTTTCCCAGCAACCTGTGGCTATTTGACCAACTATGTGGGCACCATAAAATGAACCATCACAGCACCAGCCCCGGAAATGCTCCTGTAGACAGGCTCTGCTCCTCTATTTACATGAGAGAACTCCCAGGGGAGGCTTGTTCCTCCATGGCTCTCAGAGCCCGAGCTCAGCTGTGACTCGCGACTTGGCTTGCCTTCCATGTCGGCCATCCTCCCTCCCCGGTTGGGCCTGTGGGTCCTGGGACCTTGGGAGCCACCCTGCTCACTATGGCCTCTGTCTCCTCCCTGTGCGACCTGGGCCAGCTCTCTGACCCTGCAGGCTTCCTTACCTGAGGGACAGGAGCGCTGAGTCCTGGCCTGGTGGACCTGTGAGGACCCACGCCTGTGGCACGCCTGGGAGGGCACCCGGGCAGCTCCCTCAGTAAATGTCCGTGAGCCTCTGCCCCCGAGGACCTGCTTCCTCACCGGTGGGGTCTGGGTTTCCTGGTCCACTGGCCTGGAGGTGGGTGGGTAGCCACGGCGGGACCCTGTCCTTCCTGAACCCGCCATGTGGACAGCCCTCCCACACTCCCCATCCTCCCTACCTTCCCTACAGCGTTTGCTCGAGTCATGAGCTTCCCTGCAGCTCTGCTCCACCCTTCACAGCCCCTGGGGCCGCCGCCTCAGTGCCAGCCCACCCAGGTCCCACCTAGGGCTCCTCAGTGCCGACAGCTGCAGCCCCCCACACCCTAGCCCATCCTTGAAGCTCAAACCTCCGACCTGACACCCCTCACCACTCACACCTCCAGTCCCGTTCCCTTCCCCTGGGCTGGAGGAGCCCGGCCCAAGTGCCCAGTCTTTCCGTCCTGAGCACAAGCCTCAGGTGGGTCCGCTCCCTCACTCCTGTGGTGCACTTCCTCCTCCTCTGTCCTCAGCCCCTCTCTGCCCTGTCCTGCCTCCCAGTCCAGGACCTGGCTACCTGCTTCCAGAGCAAATGGAAGCAGCTGGAAGGGACCCCCCCGCCAGCGTCTGCACCCACAGATCTGCCTCCTCCCTGAGACTGTCCCTGCTCCCACAGACGACCCTGCCTGTCCCCTCCCCACCCCATCATCATTTCCCCTCGCTAGGGTCAGCCCACCAACATACTGTGATTCTTTCCATCTTAACCCCCTCCCCAAGGTCACATCCCCCATTTCTTTACTCCCCTTTGCAGCAAAACTCCCTCAAAGAATTCTCAGTGTGTCCAGTACTTTTGCTGTGTACTTTTTAGAAATTGAGATGTAATTCATGTATCAGCAAATTCACTTTTAAAGTGTACCGGATCACTGTTTTTGTCCTATTCACAGTATTGTACAACCATCCCCGATAATTCTAGAGTGCTTCATCGCCGTTGCTGTCACCCCTGTCCCAGCCCCTGCCAACCACTGATCCCCGTCTCTACAGACTTGCCTCTTCTGGACGTTGCATATAAATGGAACCACACAGCATGTGCACTTTGTGTCTGGCTTCTCTCACTCAGCGTCATTTTTTTGAGGTACATTCATGTTGTAGCCTATATCAGAGTTTTGCTCCTTTTTGAGACTGAGTAACATTCCATTGTATGGATGGACCCTGTTTTGTTCATCCATTCCTCCACTCGTGGGCATTTGGGCAGGTCCCACTTTTTGGCTATCACGAAAAATGCTTCTGTGAACATTTGTTACAAGTTCTGTGTGGATGTGTTTTCGGTTCTCTTGCATACACACCTAGGAGTGGAGTCGCTGGCTCATGGGGTCACTCCATTGAACTTTGTTCCAGGTGGCTGTCCTGTTTCACATTTCCGTCATGCTGCTCCTGAACCGGCTCCAGGTGGCCTTGCCGCCATCACTTTACCCAAAGGCTTGTCGGGGTCACCAGCAACCTCCTCCTGAGCCATGGGGGCCCTGGGCATGGCCTGTCCTCCCCACTTAGCGCCTGACCTCCAGGTCATGGCCTCCCCTGGGTCCCCTCTGCCTGCCCTGGGCTCCTGTTGTTTATTACCACTGGGGCGTCTGCAGCATCTGCTCTCGTACCAAATTTTTATTTCCATAATAAAAAGATGAAAGCAGCCCCGTGCTGGTCGCTGTATACTCTGTGTGCTGCGGCTCTCTTATTCACAGCCCTAAACTAGACACCCCCAGACGTCCTGCAGTGGTGGAATGGGTAAGCAGGCTGCGCCCGCCCGTGCAAGGCACTCCGCGGAACAAGGGATGCAGCAGCTTGCGGGCCTCACGGAGCATGCCGAGCGAGAAAAGGTCGCACACTTTGATTCCATCTATCTGAAAATTATATAAATGGAGAGCAGATTAGCGGTTGTTTGGGGCCACTAACAGATTATGCTCAAAAGGACACCGAAGGGTCCTGTGGGGCAGACTGTCCTGTGTCTTGACTGAGTCCGTGTCGGGCCCTGGTTGTGATGTTGACTACGGTAACGTCTGGAGGACCGGATGCAGCATATATGGGGTAGCTGTTTTCTCTCAGAAGTGCATGTGTATCTCCGATTATCTCAAATGTTTAAAACAATTTTTAAAGAAGGTTTCAATTACAGGTCTGTCTTTCTTTCTTCCTTCCTTCCTTCCTTCTTTCTTTTTCCTTTTTCATGAAAGACAGAGAGAGAGAGAGGCAGAGGGAGAAGCAGGCTCCCAGGGAGCAGGGAGCCCGATGCGGGACTCGATCCCAGGACTCTGGGATCATGACCTGAGCTGAAGGCAGATGCTTAACCATCTGAGCCACCCAGGCGCCCTCAATTACAGGTTTTCTGTTTTACAGATATCCTGAAGGTTGAAATGATTAATGAGCCTAAGATTCATCCAGCTCTGAAATTCAACTGCTTAAATGTTAACGTAGAAGACTTCCTTCTGTCTGAGCTAAAATCTATTCCCAAGCAGGTGTTGAGGCATCTGGAGTGGCCGATCTAAAGCTGGCCTTCGCAGACGGGTGGCCTGCTGTCCTGAGGGAGACCTCCCAGGCTCCTGCCGCGGTCACCCTCCTCCACGTCGGTATTCCGGGGAGGCCCGCTAAGACTGTGTGGATCACACCGTCCTACATCGGTGGAAGTGTCCAGAGAAGGGAACCATTTCCTAAGGTAAGAATATGCCTCAGATAGCGGTCAGCGTAGTGCTGGAACTTATTTTTAAAGGAATGCAATAATCGTGGTTAGTTCTGGAGCACAGGTGTCAAAGAAATGGGCAGGAATTGGGTTTAGCCCAATACAAAAAGTTGGGTTTTTTCCCCCTTTCTAAACAACGGGAACTTTCCAAGAAAAAATAAAATAAAAATAAGATTTTTCTCTCAGGAAATAAAAATAGCCTTGGTGTGATCGAAATGCTTGGTGTTGGAGACCAGCTTCCTGAG